ATCCCAAAAGAATGCCCCTCCCTTCTGGATTATGCAGGTGTGGCAAAGGCAGACATTGGACTAATGAATGTAGCTCAACAAGCGACAGACAAGGTAATCCTTTGCCTTTGCCACTGGGTAAGGCCTTGAAGGGGTCTCTTGAAGCCTTATGTCAAATTCTGTTCAGTCCAGTTGTGAGCTGCCATGTGGGTGCTGGAAATTGAACCTAGGTCTTCTGGAAGAACAGTCAGTGCTCTTAACTGCTGAGCCATCTCTCCAGCCCATTTTAAATATTTTATAATCCTTCATTATATTTATGCATGTGTGTCTGCAAGACTGCAGATGTCTGCAGAGAGGCCAAGGTGTAGGATTCCCCTGGAGCTGAAGTTGAAGGTGGTTGTGAACCACTGACATGCATGTTTGGGTAGAGTAGTAAGTGCTTTTAACTGCTCAGCCCCATGGAAGTTAGCACCTCTTGAATTGGCCCCAAGATAGTCATAAAGTGCTTTGTACCCAAAACATACAAATTCCCTTAACACATTATATCACAACAATTCCATGAAATAGACTTACAGTGCTTTACAACCTTGTGAAACTGATCAGAGAAGTGAACTACTGTGTCTAAGGGCATACAGATAATGATATAATGGAACTGTGGATTTTGGTTTTGAGATAGGACCTCACACTGTACCCCAGGCTGGCCTTGAACAGATTCTCTTGCCCCGTGCTCCCAAGGTTGTAATGACATGAATGCACCAACATGCCTGGCTAGTGTCTGAAATAAAGCAATTTCTTTTTCCTTTTCATTTTTTGAGACTTTACTGGAATTTACTCTAGACCAGGCTGGCCTTAAACTCAGAGATCTGCCTGCCTCTGCCTCCCAAGTGCTGGGATTGAAGGGGTGTGCTGTCACCACCACCTGGTTAAAATAAAGCATTTATTCGTTCCAGGTGATAGGTATCAGGGGAGTGAGAGGATGCCTCTGTGCTGGGGACCATGTTGGTTGCCCAGTAATGTACTGACTGAATGAATTCACCGAAGACCAGACTGATAGATATGGAAGATTTAATGAGAGATATCACCAAAGTGGGGGTTGGGGTCGGGGTGATTCAAGGGTTGCACCTGACATAATGTGTCCCCAGTGTTAACTGGGGAGAGACGGAGAGATGAAAGGCTCTTTATAGGGTTTAGTGGAAATTTCTTAGGTCTCATCCAGTGGGACACCTGTGGGGGCTCTTACTTGGTTAGTCGACATGACATATAGCCGAGGACTAACTTTTACAGTGTCAGATGCCTGCTGTTGGGACTGGCCATCTGTCCAAGCAGGCGTGTGTTATGAGGAGCCAAACTTGTGAAAGTGTATCTCTGTATAGTATCAGGATGCCTTAAAGTAAAGGATAACCAGGGCTTGTTAAGGTTAACTGGTTCTTGAGGCAGCAGGGCCCTTATCCTGAGCTCAGGTCCCCTTTAGTGCCAAAGTAGCTTTGTTCTGAGGACAGAATGGCTCAGCAGTGATCCATCCCAGATGGCATCCACAGTAACCACCGTTTGTCCGTGGTAAATGTGAATCTCATTACTGCCTTCCTGAGCCCTTGCCTCTATTCCAGTTGGGAGCAAATAAACTCCAGGCAGATTATATACAGCCTCACTAGATCTGATATTGCCCTGACAGCCTTGGGCCTTCCTCCATCCTCTCTTGCCTTCAAGTGGCCGACAGTTATCTAGACATATAAATGTGAGCAGTATCAGCCAGCAGCCAGTGCCTTCGGGAATGGCTCCACTTTCATAGATGGACGGACACTTTGGTGTTCAAGCATGGAAACCACACTGAATGTCAATATAACTGGGAGAGACTCAGCAGGGTCAGGATCCTCAGGTGGAGTTGCCATGGCAACCCCAGTTCCATCCATCTGGCTTTTACAGCTTAGTCCCAAAGGATTTTCTTTTCCAAGCAGCAGCAGCAGCAGCAGCAGCAGCAGCAGCAGTATTGAACCCTGAAAGGAAGAGGTGTGGATGTGTACATCCCTGTTCTCATGCAGTAATCTCCCTTCTGGAATTAAAAAATAAGGGATAGAGAGATGGCTCAGTGGTTAAGAGCCTTTGCTGATCTTGCACAGGACCATGTTGGCTGGGTGGCAGTAGCACACGCCTTTAATCCCAGCACTTGGGAGGCAGAACCAGGTGGATCTTTGTGGGTTCGAGGCCAGCCTGGTCTACAGAGCAAAATCCAGGACAGGCACCAAAACTACACAGAGAAACCCTGTCTCAAAAAACAAAAACAAAAACACCATGTTAGCTGCTTACGACCACCTGTTGTTATTCCATCTCCAGGGGATCTGACTTCTCTGGCTTCCTTAAGCACAGCCTGCACTCATGTGCACACATACATACACATAAATAAAAACAACAATAAATAAATCTTGGGGTTAGAGAGATGGCTCAGCTGTTAAGAGTACTTGCTCTTCCAGAGTTGTCCATTCTCAGCACCCACTGATGACACATAGCTCCAGTCCCAGGGGATCTGATGCCCTCTTCTGACTTCCTCAGGCACCAGGCACACACATACTGCACAGTCATACATGCAGGCAAACCATATAAAACATTTAAATTTTTTTTAATTAAAGTGATTCTTTAATGGAGTGCTGAGGCTGTAGATTAGTGGTAGAACATTTGCCTAGCAGATGCAAAGCTGTACATTTGATCACCTGAACTTCAGTCAATAAATAAAATGTATTTTGCTTTCTTAGGGGCTCCTCTACTTCAGGTTAACTTGATATGTAGCTGAGGATAATACTGAACTTGGGATTCTCCCACTCTCACCTCACATTACAGGTGTGTAAAACTTCACCCAGTTTATGTCCTGCAGTACTAGACAAGTACTCTACCAAGTGAAGTGTCCCCGCTTCACACAGGACTGCTAACATGGTGAGGACAAGGGAAAGAGCTTGCTGCATAAGCCTGACAACCTGAGTTCACTGCTGGTCCCCACACGGTGCACCAGCTCCTGCCAGTTGTCCCCTGATTGGCAAGTGTATGCACACATACACAATTTTTTTCTAAAACTTTTTTTGTTTGTTTGTTTTTCAAGACAAGGTTTCTCTGTGTAGCCTTGGCTGTCCTGGAACTAGCTTTGTAGATCAGGCTGGCCTCAAACTTACCGAGATCTGCCCGCCTTTGCCATTGGAGTGCTGGGATTAAAGGCCTGCTCCACCACCACCTGGCAATTTTTTCTTTTTTTAGAGATCAGAAACTAGAATGAGGTGTGCTGGCACACATCTCTGATCCCTGCACTCTGGAGGCAGAAACAGGCCTAGTTTAAGGCCAGCCTGGTTTACACGGTGAATTCTAGAGCAGACAGGTACATAGTAACACCCTGTTTAAAAAAAACCAAACCTCCCCCCAATAAAAACAAAATAATAATAAAGCTGGCTGTAGGGGCTCACAGCTGAAATCCTAGCACCCTTACAGTGAGATGGGAGGTGAGACTGGACACCCAGAAGCTTGGGACCAGTTAGCTTGGACTACATTGCCCAGAAACAACAAGGTAGAAGAGAACCGACTCTGGAAAGTCAACTGACCTCCACATGCATGAAATGGCAGTGAAGATCTGGAAGCACCTGCCAGCTGTTTTGAGAATGGTCTCACTATGTAGTTCCGGTTAACCTCCAATTCCTCCTTTAGCTTAGTCAGGCTTGAAATTTGTAATCTTCCTGCCTCAGCACCCCCATTTCCCCTTTTACTTGGAGTGGGGTGGTATGCTGGATGAAGGTCACTTTTTATCAACTGAGACTTGCCAACAAACCAGGAATGCTGAAACAGATCCATACTTCCTGCATTTGGAGAGGCTTGTGAGGATTGCTGAAGAACAGCTTGGTCTATACAATGAGTTCCTGGCCAGGCAGAAATGTAGGTAAGATCTTTTCCCAAAAGGAAGAGGGTAAAGGGTGGGGGGATTGAAAGAACACACAGGAACTGTCCTAACAGGAGTTTAGGAAAGAGCTGTTAGTGCAGTGCATGAGTTGTAGCCTGTAAGCCTGTAGTATGGACTCTAAGTCTATAGTGTAGAACACGAGTCAGGAGAATGGGGGACGTGGGCCTAAAGAGCAGAGTTCAGAGCTTATCTGAAGTGTTTGGCTCAGCCAGAAATACCTCTTCCTCCTCCTCTTCCTTGTCTTTTTTTTTTTTTTTTTTTTTTTTTTTTTTCTGTCCTGGAACTCATTCTGTAGACCAGGCTGGCCTTGAACTCACAGAGATCCGCTTGCATCTATCGCCCTAGTGCTGGGATTAAGGGCAAGCACGACCATTGCCTGTCTGTACCTTCTTTGGATTTCTTTTTTTTTTTTTGGTTTTTCGAGACAGGGTTTCTCTGTGTAGCTTTGCGCCTCTCCTGGAACTCACTTGGTAGCCCAGGCTGGCCTCGAACTCACAGAAATCCACCTGCCTCTGCCTCCCGAGTGCTGGGATTAAAGGCGTGCGCCACCACTGCCCGGCTTGGATTTCTTTAGAGTCACTGCATACCAGGCTGGCCTCGAACTCACAAAAGTCCTTTGTGAAATGGACAAAATGTATATTTTGCATCTGCCGTCCTAGTGCTGAGATTGAAGGTGTGCACCACCACACCTTGGGCAGAAGTCCCTTCTGTCCAAGGGGAACAGCTCCTGGGAACCCCATCTATTCTTCTGGGAAGGGGAAGTAGCAGCTGCTGTTGGGGGCATTATTGGAGAGATAGGTTGAACAGGAAAGCGAAGTCAGGCACCAAAAGCTTCACTATGATCCAAAAAACTTGTTAGCTCTGGAATAGCAAGCTCAAGGGAGCGAGGACTGTCTCTCTGGAGAATATGTTAATTCAGTCCAGCCAGGGCACACCACCCGCTAGCCAACCAACAAGAGCTGTTGCTTTAAGAAGCGCCACTCACGTGACCAACGACACCTCGGTGCCTTCACCGCTCTTTCACACTGACCAATCCTGAGGTGGGATGCCTATTGGTGGGCGGGAAACTCAGTAGACGGCCACCGATTGGCTCCGCGTATCGAGGGCGGAGCCTGGGCTCCGAGAGAGGGAATTAGCGTGAGCCGGTGAGTGGAAGCAGCCGCCGCCTCCCCGGCAGGCGCCCTCGCAACGCCGGAGTCCGCAGGTGAGCAGGCCCTCCCGGGGCCCAGGGCTTCGCGGCCCGCGGTGGGCTGCTCCCCAGCCTCGGGGCCCGCGGGAGCCCGCCCCCTTCACCGAGCACGTGACACAAGTTCCGTAACCCTTGACCTCCCCACTCCACCCACGCCCTCTCGTTCTGGGATGCAGGAAGGTGGGTCGGAGGATGCGCAACCCAGAGGCCCTTGGAGGTCGGTTCCCACGCCTCCTGGTCGGAGAGACTTGGAACTGAGAATGTGCAGGACAGGAGACTGAGGAGTGGTAGACCCTGGTCACAGACCTGACTTTGTGAGGTCTCACTAGGGGGACAAAAATAGAGAAACTCCCTCCTGGCTTTCCACAAGAATGGGTGCTCCCATTTCACAGATGGGAAAACTGAAGCGTACTCATCCAGTGGTAGTCTAATGGTGGGACTCCAAATCCTTGGCTATGAAGCCAGGCCTAGTTCAAACCCAAGCCGGCTGCTCGTAAATGTAGTATCCCGAGTTAATTTACGACAAGGGTTCGAGTCCCTGCCATCTAATTACTCAGTGATTACTGGTTGGTCATGGACAATCTAGGTAACGTCTCTGAGCTATGACTTTCATGGCTTTGTGAAATGGACAAAATGTATATTATATATCTTGTTAATGAGGGTAGGATGAGGTGATAGAGTGTTGCTAGCTGGAAGCCACAGACATTTATATACTTAGAAAAATAGCTGTGCTGGAGAGATGACTCAGTGGTTAAGAGCACTGGCTGGTCTTCTGGAGGACCCCAGGTTCAATTCCCAGCACCCTCATGGCAGCTCACAACTGTCTGTAACTCCAGCTCAAGGAGATCTGGCACCCTCACCTAGACATACATACAGACAAAACACCAATGAACATAAAAATAAATCTTTAAAGAAAAAGAAAAATAGCAGTTCTAGGCCAGGAGTGCTGGCACACACCTTTAATCCCAGCACTCGGGAGGCAGAGGCAGGCGGATCTCTGTGAGTTCAAGGCCAGCCTGGGCTACAGAGTTCCGGGACTAAACAGAGAGGCTTTTATAACTGTTCTTCTCTTTTCAGCAAGTGTTAATAAGGGTGTGGTATGTGCTGACGCTGCTGGACACTTGGGATGCAAAGGTAAGCATAGAGATTATGGTGGGCAGCTCATGGTCGTCTGGGGACCACATGCTGATTCTCAGCACCCCTTTAAAATGAGTGGGAGTGATGGTAAAAAGCTGGGGGCAGTGAGCTTGTCCCCAACCCTGGGCATGCCAAGAAGGGCGGGTCCCCGGAGCTTGCTGAGGAGCCAGCCTAACCTAATCTGTGGACCCCAGGTTCCAGTGAGAGACCCTGCCTCAAAAGCACAGTAGACGCCGGGCGGCGGTGGTGGTGGTAATCCCAGCACTCGGGAGGCAGAGGCAGGCGGATCTCTGTGAGTTCGAGGCCAGCCTGGTCTACAGAGCGAGATCCAGGACAGGCCCAAAGCTACACAGAGAAACCCTGTCTCAAAAAAACAAAAAAACAAACAAACAAACAAACAAAAAGCACAGTAGTCAGCTCCTCAGGAGGAGTGACGCCCAAGGTTGTCTTCTGGTATGAACTACTGTTTGAACCTAAGGCTCACACGTGTTAGGAAAACTCTCTTTACGACTGAGTTCTATATCTTCAGCCTTTTTTTTTTATTATTTCATTTATTTAATTATTTTTAATTTTAATTTTTTTTCTTGAGACAGGGTTTCTATGTGAACTTGGCCGTCCTAGAATTTGCTCTGTAGACCAGGCTGGCCTCAAACTCAGATCCACCTGCCTCTGCCTCCTGAATGCTGGAATTAAAGGTGTGTGCCATCACTTCAGCTCCAGCCTTCTTTTTACATTTTAGTTTGAGATAGTCTGAGTTGTTAGGGTAGCCTTGAATTCACTTCATAGTCCAGGTGGGCTTTGAACCATCCATGCTCCTGCCTCAGAACTGCTTTAAAGACAAATGACAGGGACATTTACACGATCTGGGAAGAGCTCCCTGAGCAGGTGACATTTGAACAGTGATCTGAAGGGGAGTAGATGATTGGTCACTGAGTCAGAGAGATTTGGGGAGGAGAGCAAGGAAGGGGGAGTGTCACACAGAAGAAACAGAGTGGACTGCGGTCCTGAAATACGGAATGGAAGGTGGCCATGGGTAGACACGCAGAACACAAGGGGAGAAGCAGACACACGGCATGTGCATAGCCTTTCCAGCTTGGGCCAGTTTTGTTCCGTTTTCCAAAAGCAACAGGGGACCCCTGGGAGGAGGGTGGTGGGGTTATATGGGTTGCCCATTGGTTTTAGAGATAAAGAATCGTGAATCCTTGCTGGAGTCCTGGGAGCAGGCCTGGGTGGGTCACCTTGGCATGGGCTTTGTTGAGCCTCTAAGCTCCCTGTTTGTGGATTGTAGAGCAAGAGGAGCAGGTGCGATTGAAAGGGTGTCGCTTGACCGGTGCTTGGGGGAAACTTAGAGATACTAGACAGCTTTTTCAACCCTTCCTTGTGTTTCCACTCTCAGCTCCACTGGGGCCATGTCAGAGAGAGAAGAGCGGAGGTTTGTGGAGATCCCTCGGGAGTCAGTTCGGCTCATGGCAGAGAGCACAGGGCTGGAGCTGAGTGATGAGGTGGCTGCTCTGCTCGCTGAAGATGTATGCTACCGTCTCAGAGAGGCCACCCAGGTATGCTGCTCTTGGTTCTCCTTACCCTGCTCCCTTTGTTCTTCCTGTTACCTCCTTGCACGCTGACTTGTTCAACAAACGTATGTTGGGTACCTTGTGCTTTGAGGGTAGGAGACAGTCTAGGCCTTTTAAAGAGGCCTTTTCTAAGCCAGGCAGTGGCGGCGCACGCCTTTAATCTCAGCACTCGGGAGGCAGAGGCGGGTGGATCTCTGAGTTCAAGGCCAGATCTACAGCTAGTTCCTGGACAGCTCTGGCTACACAAGAGAAACCTTGTCTTGAAAAAACAAAAGAAACCAAAACAAAAGAGAGTCCCTTTCTAGTCAGATGTCTGGAAACGAAAACACTAGCTGAGCACTTTCTTACGGCACTTCTTTACAGTGTTCTGCTGCCTGGGCAGAATGGATGGATGGTGATACTCCACACAAGAGACTGAGGCACACAGCTGGGGGCATGACATTCAAAAGTTTTACCGAGGCTGAGCTGGAAATGCAGGCTTTCTGATTGCTGGCATGGGGTCCTCTTTGTCCGCTCAGTCTAAGCCATTTCCTTTGGGGGTTCCCACACCTGCTCCCTGCTTCCTAACTCCGCCTTCTATCCCTCCCCTCACAGAATAGTTCTCAGTTCATGAAACACACCAGACGGAGGAAGCTGACTGTAGAGGACTTCAACAGGGCTCTCAGGTGGAGCAGTGTAGAGGTAAGTGGAGTGTGGCCACAGAGGGCTCAGGTGGCATGGGGCCACCTTACCTGTTCCGATCAGGGCTGGCAGTGTGCTGCAGCATGAGACACACACACACACAGCGCAGCAGGTCAGGCGCTGGGCCCATACCAAAGGAATATGAGTGTTTTTGAGGCAGAATCTCACTATGTATAGTGGGCTGACACCCAGTTCCAATTAAGAACATTTTAAGGGGCTGGAGAGATGACTTATAGGTTAAGAGTACTGACTGGTCTTCCAGAGGTCCTGAGTTCAATTCCCAGCAACCACATGGTGGCTCACAACCATCTGTAATGAGATCTGGTGCCCTCTTCTGACCTGCAGGCATACATGCAGGCAGAACACTGTATACATAATAAATAAATAAACCTTAAAAAAAAAAAAAAAATTTAAATATAAAATACAACATGAAGCCGGGCGGTGGTGGCGCACACCTTTAATCCCAGCACTCGGGAGGCAGAGGCAGGCAGATCTTTGTGAGTTCGAGGCCAGCCTGGTCTATAGAGCGAGATCCAGGAAAGGCACAAAGCTACACAGAGAAACCCTGTCTCGAAAAACCAAAAAAAAAAAAAAAAAAAATACAACATGAAGGATGGTAAGAAACTACAGAACCTTTGTTCAGGAGCTGTGATAGACAAAAATAAGGGAACCATATTATAGTGCCTTTCTTTACCATGTTCTGACATCATTCTGGATGCTTCAGCTTTTGTTAATTTATTTGCTTTTTTATTGTTGTTGTTGTTATTATGTCCAGTCATCCTGCTTGCTAATCCTTCCTCCTCAGGCTGTGTGTGGCTACGGATCCCAGGAGGCACTGCCCTTGCGCCCCGCAAGGGAGGGCGAGCTCTACTTTCCAGAGGACCGAGAAGTGAACCTGGTGGAGCTGGCACTGGCCACCAACATCCCCAAGGGCTGTGCCGAGACGGCTGTCAGAGGTGGCTGCTCGGGTCCTTCTCGGTGTGGGACGGGAACTGGGGTCTGAGTGGTGCTGACGGGCCAACTTTTAGGAAATTTGAAGGGGCGAAATCCCAACTGACATCCATCTCTTTCCCTTGATTTTAGTTCATGTCTCCTATCTGGATGGCAAAGGAAACCTGGCACCTCAAGGATCAGGTAAGTAAATGTCAGTGTGGAAAACGGCTGTCTGGAAGAGTGAGGGCCTCTGTGCCTTTGGGTCTTCATCTGCCAAGCATTTACAGATGCCTGCTGAGTTCTAAAGGAACACATGCCTTTGTCCAGAGGCTTATGGTCAGAGGTGGAACCCAGACCCGTTACCATTCATAATGTATGTTGGAGGCCAAGACAGAAGTATGTGCTGTAATCTGAGGTCCCCAAGAAGTACTTCCGGGGTATGCTGGGCAGAGTTTCAGAGAGCCTGAGTCTTGTCCAATGGGAGCTTGAGAACTGAGCAGCAGTCTGTGGCAGGGGTGGGTGGGAGTAGAGAGAGCAGAGACGTGCGGAGCCTGCCTGATGAGAGTGCAGTTGGAGCAGCTTGGCCGTCATGTCCTGCTCGATCCAGTTCCTGTGGGTGGGTGTGGTGGTTGGAGGGTGGCAGGCTGAGGGAGCCTTGAGAAGGCTATTGCTCCATCTGTGACCACTTCCTTCCTGTCTTCTCACAGTGCCCAGTGCGGTGTCTTCACTGACAGATGACCTTCTCAAATATTACCAGCAAGTGACACGGGCTGTCCTGGGGGATGATCCACAGCTGATGAAGGTGAAACAGAGAGCTGACTGGGCACGAAGTCCAAGTTTCAAATCGTGTGGAATATTTCCCGTTGTCTAGTTCTTGCCCTCTGTAGATGAACTAGTTACTGTGGTGGAACCCATTCTCTAGTGGGGTGTGTGTGTGTGTGTGTGTGCGCGCGCGCGCGCGTGTGCGTGCGCGTGCCCCATGCGTGCTCTCTGAGTGGCCCCCTACTATCCCAGTCCTGACCCCTTTATGCTCTAGTAGAAATCCTTGTTAAATGGGCAATGGGCAACACAGAAGGAACTTCTGATGATGGTGTTCTCATACCTTCATTCGGAAGTCCCATTTTTTGAGGTGTCTATTGATCTGGAGCCAAATGAGGCATTTATTTTATTTTATTTATTTATTTATTTGTGTGTCTGTGTTTTTTTTTTTGTTGTTGTTGTTTTTTGTTTTGTTTTTGGAGACAGGGTTTCTCTGTGTAGCCCTGGCAGTCCTGGAACTCACTCTGTAGACCAGGCTGGCCTCAAACTCACAGAGATCTACCTGCCTCTGCCTCCTGAGTGCTTGGGATTAAAGATATGAGCCCCCATGCCCATCGAGGCATTTGTTTGTCTGGACTTGGTAAGGAAAGGAGAAGTAGATGTCCAGGTCGGGTGCCCCCAGGTGCCCAGCCAGGCCTGCTCTGCAGACATAGTTCCTGGGCTGGTTCCCGCTCCTATTGCTTTAGCCTCTGGACACCACCTGAAGTCTTTCCTCTCCTGTCCACAATCAGACGAGGCTGTGGTTTGCCCAGCCATGTGACTTTTCTGTATGACAATTGAGATCCCCCACTTTCCCATATCTGGCTGCTATTTCACTTAAAAACTAGGAACATTGCCAGCATATGACATTGTTCTCAAAACTTGACTGCTAGGCTGCTCATGCATTAGTTAGCATGTTCAAAGGCCTGGATTGAAAGTCCCAACACTGTAAAACAAATAACACAGAAGCAGTTGTGGTGGTGTGGGCCTGTAATCTCAGCCCTGGTAGGAAGATTGCAAGTTTGAGGCCGGGCTGTGGGCTACTTTATAAGACCCCCTCTCACTCAGCAGAGAACAAAAGGAAATAAAAACTTAGCTCTTGCTTTGCTTCTTAGTCACCTATCGGTGGCAGCTGTGTGCCTGGGAGCTAAGCCTCTTTGCAATTTCAGATCTTTATCTAGAGGGTTTGGCAGGTCCAGGTCGTAGCAGTTTATGGATGAGGTGGTTTTCTTTGTTTGTTTGACATATATATATATATATATATATATATATATACACACACATATATTTTTTTTTTTTTTTTTTTTTTTTGGTTTTTCGAGACAGGGTTTCTCTGTGTAGTGCTGCGCCTTTCCTGGAACTCACTCTGTAGTCCAGGCTGGCCTCAAACTCACAGAGATCCGCCTGGCTCTGCCTCCCCAGTGCTGGGATTAAAGGCGTGCGCCACCACCGCCCGGCTTATATATTTTTGAGACAGGGTCTCTCCATGTAGCCCTGGTTGGTCTGGAACTCTCTATGTAGACTCAGCTGACCATGAACTCAGATATCTGCCTTCCTACTTCCCCAGAGCTCTAGGATTAAAAGTGTGAACCGCCATGCCAAGCTTTTTGCTTTTTGTTTGATTGTCTGTTTTGAGACAGGGTTTCTTTGTGTAGCCTTGGTTGTCCTAGAACTAGCTCTAGAGACCAGACTGGCCTAGAACTCAGAGATCCTCCTGCCTCTGCCTCTAGTGCTATGATTAAAGGTGTGCTCCACTACTCAGTTGCTTTTTAATTTTTTAAAGAATTATTTTATTTTAATTTCTATATTTATTTTGGGTTTTTCAAGACAGGGTTTCTCTGTGTAGTCTTGGCTGTTCTGGAACTCCCTCTGTAGACCAGACTGGCTTCGAACTCAAAGAGATCCGCCTGCCTCTGCCTTCTGAGTGCTGGGACTAAAGGCGTGCACTACCACTGCCTGGCTGAATTACTTATTTCTTATTTTATGTGTCTAGTATTTTGCCTGCATGCACTTAAGTAAGTGGGTCATTTTTGTTTAGTGCCCATGGAGGTCGGAAAAGGGCGTGTATCCCTTAGAACTGGACAGTTGTAAGCTGTTATGTGGTGCTGGGAACTGAACTCTGGTCCTCTGCAAGAACAGCAAGTGCTCTTAACTACTTAGCCATCTCTCCACCCTGACTTAAGGTTTTTACTGTAATAAATGTCTTCTGCTGGCTGGGTGGTGGTGGCACACACCTTTAATCCCAGCACTCAGGAGGCAGAGGCAGGCGGATCTCTGTGATTTAGAGGCTAGTGGGTTTCTGTAGGTTGAAACTGATGGGATTTCTGCATCGGGGCATGGACCTTTAACATCATAACACATGGGTGCAGTGCTAACCCCCCTCCAGGATGGTGACTCTTTTCATAAAGACGTTCCTTTCAGGTCGCCCTCCAGGACCTGCAGACAAACTCCAAGATCGCGGCACTCCTGCCTTACTTTGTTTATGTGGTCAGTGGGGTAAGTGACCAACTTTGAGTGAGGGTGACCCCACAGTGTTCAGGGCTCCTAGCAGATGCTGTCAGAGTGGCAGGCCCTGTCTCTCTGTCTCCCTAAGCAGCCCACATTTACCAACAGGTAAAATCTGTAAGCCACGACCTGGAGCAGCTGCACCGACTCCTGCAGGTGGCACGGAGCTTGATGCGGAACCCACACCTCTGCTTGGGGCCCTATGTCCGATCCCTGGTGGGCAGTGTGCTCTACTGTGTCTTGGAGCCGCTGGCCGCCTCCATCAACCCTTTGAATGACCACTGGACTCTTCGGGATGGGGCTGCTCTTCTCCTCAGCCACATCTTCTGGTAGCCGCTGGGCTCGAGCTGCACAGAGTGTGGGATAGCTTACACAGTCAGCCGGGTTGTGGTAGGGAACTCTCTGAAGCCTCTGGCTTTGAGATTGAATGTTGAGTGTGGAACCCTTCCTTAGCGCTCCCTAGCTGGCGTGTCGTGGTACAATTACAAATATACCAAGATACTAGTCTTTTTGTCCCTTGGATTCTGGGCCAGTCAAATCTGGCAGCCTGTCCCAGAGTGCCTTACAAATGCTCGGCTCTGTGTGCAGTACCTTATTCCCTTTCCTACCTGTTGCTTCCACAGGACTCACGGGGACCTTGTAAGTGGCCTCTATCAACAGATTCTGCTCTCCCTGCAGAAGGTCCTGACAGACCCTGTTCGGCCTCTCTGTTCTCACTATGGGGCTGTGGTAGGGCTGCATGCTGTAGGCTGGAAGGTGAGGACCCTGGCTTTTCTCACAGATCTTTTGAGAGTTGCCATGTGTGTTGGAAAAATAGCATTCATGTATATTTTATTATAAAAGTGGTGTGTGTTTGATGCGGCCAGGTTTATTGTATGCCATGTTGGTCTATATGTAAATGTGTCATCCCTTTAGAACTCCTGCTTGGAGGTCTTTATAGTATGAATTCTTGCCCATTCCATAACACCGTCTTAGGAACTACCCTCAATTTCTTTGTTTCTCCCCTTTTTTCTTTGGGTTTTTTGTTTGACACAGTGCTTGTTTTGTAGTCCATACTGGCCTTCAATTTGTGATCCTCCTGCCTCAGGCACCATACTCGGCTTCAGTTTTGTGTTTTGGTTTTTTTTTAATTGCATGTTTTATAGTGAGCAGAAGTTTGGCATCCATAGAAATCACCAGACGACTATGTGCCTAAATTCTGTTATACGACTGTTCACTGAGTCACTCTTTGATACTTGGAATCATGCTCTTTGTTTCATTTTGAATTTGTATTATTTTTAAGTTCTAGAGAAATATCAAGTAATATCTCCTTTTTTTAACGTCCTCACAATCTTTTAGGGTGCTTTCACAACTGCCCTAAGGTACCAACACACTTTAATCTGCAGTGCTGGCTGTCAGACCCTGGGTCTTGTTCAGACTTGGTCGGTGCTGCCCCACCTCTCACCCCGCCCCGTTTGTTATATTTCTTCCCAGATTCTTGCTGTAATGCTGCTGTAGTGTCTTCCCGGGGGTTGTTCCTTGTTGGTATGTGTGTGTTTTAAGCTCAAGGACAATTTTATTAGAGTTTAAAAGGAAAATATCCCAGAGCAGGCAGGCTGTAAGTGTCAGAAGCTGCCCAGTTCTCTCTTTTAACTCTACCTGGGTTCAGGGTCACCAGGCTTGTACAGCAAGTGCCCTTACACAATGAACCATCCTGCTGGGCCCTCAATGCTTTTTTGTTTATTATTATTATTGTTGTTATTGGCTGTGAACCCAGGTCCTCTGAAAGAGCAACCAGTTCTTTTAATCGTTGAACTATCTCCCCGGCCCCTTCTTACTGTTTTTTCTAAACAGGGTTTCCCTGGCAGCCCTGGAACTTGCTCTGTGGACCAGGCTAGCCTCATGGACTCAGAGATCCAACTGCTTTTTCTGCCCTCCCCCACTCCAACCGCCTAGGCATGAGCTGTTTTTGTTTAAAACTGGGACTTAGCCGGGCGGTGGTGGCGCACGCCTTTAATCCCAGCACTCAGGAGGCAGAGCCAGGCGGATCTCTGTGAGTTCGAGGCCAGCCTGGTCTCCAAAGCGAGTTCCAGGAAAGGCGCAAAGCTACACAGAGAAACCCTGTCTCGAAAAACCAAAAAAAAACAAAAAACAAAAACAAAAACTGGGACTTAAAGTGAAGCCCAGGCTGGCCTCAAACTTGGAATTAGACTTGTGAATGCTAGGGTTACAGACCTGCACCTCAAAATCTTGCTGATTTATGTTTGAGATCACTTTTCTGAGTGTATATTGATTTCTGTAAATTTAAGAAGTATGTTTTAGTGTCTTTTGTAATTACAGTTATTTAAAATGTAATCCCTATTTCTTTGTGTCAGTAACATTTTCCCTAGGAATTTGACAAGTGGTCAGCATTTTCAAATGTTCATGCTCTGTGGATGAGTGATCCAAGTCTAACTTACATGTCAGAGCCCACTGAAATATCATAGTTTTTGTTTAGTCTTAATTGCCCCCCCCCAAACTACTCAATTTAAAACTGCACAATCGGCCGGGCCGTGGTGGCGCACGCCTTTAATCCCAGCACTCGGGAGGCAGAGCCAGGCGGATCTCTGTGAGTTCGAGGCCAGCCTGGACTACAGAGTGAGTTCCAGGAAAGGTGCAGCACTATACAGAGAAACCCTGTCTCGAAAAACCAAAAAAAAAAAAAAAAAACAAACAAAAAACAAAAAACTGCACAATCAAGTCGGGCGGTGGTGGCACATGCCTTTAATCCTAGCACTCTGGATGCAGAGCCAGGTGGATCTCTGAGTTCAAGGCCAGCCTGGTCTACAGAGTGAGATCCAGGACAGGCACCAAAACTATACAGAGAAACCCTGTCTCGGAAAAAAAAAAACAAAAACCTGCACAGTTAAAGCCATGTGTGGTAGTACACTGCCTATAATCCCAGAACTTGGGAAGCTAAAGAAAGGGAATTCTCAGGAATTCAAGACCCAGTCTGGGCTCCCAGCAAAGTCATTTCAACAAGGTTTCTTGATTGTTTTTGTGTGTGTGGTCTGAACTCAGCTCCTGTTTCTCATTAACAATACTTTCCTGCTGATTGTATTCACAAACAGTCTACAAGCAGTTTTTATGTTGTAATGATTTAATTATGTCTTATTAGCCCACTGTTTAAGTGCCAGAAATGGGTCTTTTTATATTGCCTGTGTTTGTTTTTATGCCTCATGCCTACCAAAAGCTTGCACATATAGTAGATCTCAGAGAAACGTTGGATACCTCAATGAGGAAATTGAGGACTAGGCCCCGACAACAATCCGCCGATTGGGTCTTTTGTGGGAAAGGGTACTCAAGAGGGCGTATGAACCGAGGTTGCTTACTGCATTCCTTTTTTCCCTTCTAGGCAGTAGAACGAGTCCTGTACCCACATCTGCCCACTTACTGGACAAACTTGCAGGCGGTGCTGGATGACTATTCGGTATCTAATGCCCAGGTTAAAGCGGATGGGCACAAAGTCTATGGAGCTATTCTGGTGAGTGGACAGCCCCAGCTTCCCCTTATTTCAGGAGCTCAGCAGGTTTACTTTGAGGTGCCTGTTGGCCCAGGTTCCTTCTAGCTCTTTGTGTACAGGTGGCCGTAGAGCGACTGCTGAAGATGAAAGCCCAGGCAGCAGAGCCCAACCGCTGTGGTCTTGGCGGGAGAGGGTGCCATCGTGCCGAGGACCTGCCTTGGGACAGCCTTCTCCTGCAAGAGTCTCCTCCGGGGGGCGGTGCCGAAGCCGGCTTTGGGTCTGGTCTCTCCCTGCCGCCAGGAGGCGCCCGGCCAGAGGACCCTTCTTCCTTGACCCTGGCAGACATCTACCGAGAGTTGTACGCCTTCTTCGGTGACAGCCTGGCCACTCGCTTCGGCACTGGCCAGCCCGCGCCCACGACCCCGCGACCACCCGGAGACAAGAAGGAGCCAGTGGCCGCCCCAGACTCGGTGCGGAAAATGCCGCAGCTGACTGCTAGCGCCGTGGTGAGCCCGCAGGGGGACGAGAGCCCGCTCGGCGGGGGCCCCGCGGCCGCCGCCGCCGCCGCCGCCTCCGAGAGCAGGCCGCTGCCGCGCGTGCACCGGGCGCGGGGCGCTCCTCGTCAGCAGGGTCCTGGCGCGGGAATGCGAGACGTCTTCCAGAAGAGCCGCTTTGCGCCCCGCGGTGCCCCTCACTTCCGTTTTATCATCGCCGGGCGTCAGGCCGGGCGGCGCTGCCGCGGGCGCCTCTTCCAGACTGCTTTTCCCGCGCCCTATGGACCCAGCCCAGCGTCCCGCTACGTGCAGAAGTTGCCCATGATCGGCCGCACCGGCCGCCCGGCTCGCCGCTGGGCGCTCTCGGACTATTCCCTGTACTTGCCACTGTGAGGCCGTCGGCCCTCCAAGAATAAACCCGCACTAGGAAGTGACGTGTCTGTGCTCGTGGGCGGGGCTTGGGCGGTTGGCTTCCTGGTGGCCTGGGCGCCATGGCGCTGCGCTGGTTGCAGCGAGTTGAGCTCGCGCTGTTTGCTGCCTCCTTCCTGTGTGGGGCCGTGGCGGCCGCGGCACTGACTAGGACCCAGGTGCGGCTGCGGGGCGGGCTAGTCCTGGGGTCGAGCGTCGGGGACTGGCCGCGGTAGCTCCATCGGGCCTAGGGACTGAGAAGTCGGTCCCAAAGTTGTTTCCTTGCTAAAGGAGCTAGACAGGCAGAGTGTCATCCAGCCGGTTATTAAGCTTACTTGGGTGCTGAGACACACAGGCCCAGTCTTTGCATCCATCTAATAGGAACATTTGTGCCCCCAAAACCCCCAAAACGTAGTGTGGTGGAGGTGATCAAGGTCCCGCATGATTGTAATGCGGTGTGTGTGAAATAAGGAAACGAATACACCTACGTACATTTAAGGTTTACTACTGCTGGGCAGTCTTGGTAAGAGCACTTTGAGTCACTATAGGAGTGTACAACACTCTTTTACAGACTACGAGAGCTGCTGGTTAAAGGGCACACAAAGTCAGGGTTTACTCTGCTCACAGGGAAATGTGAAGCTTGTTATTTCTCTTGGGGTCCGTCTCCCCCTCCCACCCCCCAGGGTTTCTGTGTAGTTTTGGCACTCCCTCTGTAGGCCAGGCTACAGGACTAACAGGTCCACCTGCCTCTGCCTCCTGGGTGCTGAGGTCAAAGGAGTGCACCACCACTGCTGTGCTTCTCCTGAGTTCTTTATATTACAACCCACTGAATTTTCTGACCCCTCTGGGCCCTGCAGACTTGGCTCCCAGCAGATCCACATCAGTCTCTCCTAATTTGGGAACTAGCCCTAACATTTGGCAGTAACCTGCATCTCAGGGCACTGAACCACCAAGGACTTAACAGCTTCTCTCCACAGGGCTCCTTCGGTGGTAGCTGTCCCTTGTATGGTGTGGCTGCCCTCAATGGCTCCTCTCTGGTCTTGTCAAGTCCCTCAGCCTCTTCCCTCTGCTACTTTGTAGCTGGGGCTTCCGGCCTCTTGGCCCTCTACTGCCTTCTGCTGCTCCTCTTCTGGGTCTACAGCAGCTGCATCGAGGACTCTCACAGGTGATTGATTGCCCTGCTGAGGACAAGGGACCAAGGTGAGATGAGTCCCATCTAAGCCACAAAGCTTGTTTTCTCTCCCTCAGAGGTTCTATAGGGCTCCGAATTGCTTTGGCCATCTCAGCTATAGCCATCTTCCTGGTCTTAGTGTCTGCCTGTATACTTCGATTTGGCACCAATTCTCTCTGCAATTCCATCATCTCCTTGAACCATACAATTAGGTAATGGGAGAGGGAGGGAAGCCTGGCAGGGATTATCTCCCTCTGTAGGGAACAAGTCATTTAAGTCCCCATCTTTATCCCCATAAGTGTGCTTAGAGCATGTCCCCTTTCTCACAACTCTCTTTAATCTCACAGCTGCTCTGAAGCCCAGAAAATCTCATGGACACCCCCTGGAACTGCTGTGCAGTTTTACTCCAATCTACAAAACGCTGAAGTGAGACAAAGGGTTATACTAAGATTAAATATCTGTAGCTTAAGAGTGTTCACCATGTAATGTATGCTTGCCTGTAATTCAGTCAAAAGCTCAAAGTAGCCATGGGCTTGTTACCTGATTCTGAATAGAGAGGGTATTGTGTGGGTAGGACTGGATTGGAGATGGCTTCCTTCCTCACACTCCTGTTTTCTCTCACAGACCTCCTCTTGGGTGAATCTGGTATTGTGGTGTCTGGTCTTGATGCTCCAGGTCATGCAGTGCAAGTCTGAAGCCGCCCCATACCGGCCTCAGGAGAGGGGTGACCCAGAGTGGAGCTCTGAGACCGATGCTCTTGTTGGGCAACGCCTGTCTCACACCTGAAGAATACTTGAGTGCTTTCTGAAGCCAGAACCTCCATGCCCAAGTGCTTTTAATCTTGCCTCACTCAATGCAGCCCTGTTTATGCTGAGAATCAGTTTTCCCTCCAGGAGGGAAACATTAGAATAGGCCCCCTCTGCCTTTTCACCTTAACATTTTTTTTTGTACCAAAATAATATATTGCTTTTCTTCATCATGGTATAGAGTTCTTGATGTTAAAGCAAATAGATGGGAGAGAAGACAGAATGATGGCTGAAGTGCATCCGGCCCTTTAGAACACAGATTTATTGGCTATTAGTGAATCCTGGGGGCCTTTTCATTGCTCTAGGTTGTCTCTTCATCCTTAGGGTTTGCATCCTCATCTGAGAGGGCAAGTCACATTTCACAGGCTCCGATAGGCACCCACAGTGTTGTCAAAGAGTTGAGTGTTGGGGAAATGTCCAGCTTTGTCCAAAAGGAAATAAAAGCGTCGGCCTTTGATCTTCAGAGGCAACATGGCAGGAACTTCAGCTCTGTGGGCCATGCAGGAAACCTGGTTCAAAGGAACTGTGAAATGGGTTCCCAAGCCAAAGGGGGCATAAGTGGTAAGCGTCACCTGCTGCCCTCCTGCAAGGAGCATGACTGAACGCACAGATCGGAGAGAGTAGAGAAGACCAGCACCAAGGACCAAGGCTCCTGCAGAAGCAAAGTGGGGTAAAGGGTTATGCAGACAGACCTCCTTTAGAGCAGAGTCACATTACTGTAATGGCAGTAACAGTTTTGAGCACTTAAAGAATTTTGTGTTCCTAACTCTAAACCCATCACTTTAAAACAAAAAGGGGGGGGGGGTAATTGGTGGTGGTGCACACCTTTAATCTGAGCACTCGGAAGGCAGAGACAGGAGGAGCTATAAGTTCCAAGGCAGCCAAAGCTACACAGAGAAACCCTGTCTTGAAAAAAGAAAAAAAGAAAAAAAAAGACAGGGTCTTTTAATCCATGCTGGCCACAGCTTGCTATAGGTTCAATAACCTTGAACTTGTGGTCTTTTAATCCATGCTGGCCACAGCTTGCTATAGGTTCAATAACCTTGAACTTGTGAATTTGTGATCTTCCTGCCTCCACTGTATAAATGCTAATATTACATCTGGGTGCCGCCATGTACCGTTTATGCAGTGTTAGGGGCTGAACCCAACGCTGCATGCTACTTAGGCAAGCACTCTACAAACTGAGCCATACCGACATTTTTTATAGATGGCCAGCTCCGTTGTTAAAGTGGGCCTGTGGCTTCAGTAGCCTGTTCATGGCCAGAGTGAAGGGCAGATCTTGGCCTATTGTGTGCGAGGAGGGAGTAGGGAGTTGGGGAGCAAGGCATTCAGTGACTTAGCTGCCATCACACCTATACCGGGTATCCCACTTACATTTCTGCTCATCCAAGAGGATTGGGAACCCTTCTTCATTGAGTTTTGTGCTCACAGCCCCATGGCAACCTGGAGCCCATGCCCTTACCCATTGTGCCGCAACCAACAGCTAGCCCGTAGCGCCAGAGTGCCGAGCGCAGGTCCGTGTAGCCCCGTTTTGGAGCCTCCGCAGGAACCCGGATCAGAGGTCGGGACAAGGCTGCAATAGCCAGGGAGGTCCAGAAGATGCCCTGGCCGGCGCAAAACAGTCCAAGGATGGCAAAGAAGCGGCCCCGTTCATGCTGGAAAAGCAGCACATCCTGTGGGACCCCATTTTGCAAAGGCCGGTACACAGGGTGGGACCGCAGTACAGACAACAGCCCGCTGACCCGCCGCCGCCAGGGCGCCGCCATGGCGGAACACTTCCGTCTGCGGGGCGGGACTTCCTGTCACGACGCACTCTCCCATCCCTCCCGCATTGAGGAAACAAGCCAGTAATGGGACACAAACTACAATATCACTCTTTATCTTAAAAAGTAAAGGGAATCAGGGGTTAAGTACACAGAGCACCTAAGTCCTTCGGGTAGTTTAGTGTCAGCTCTACAAAGTAAGCTTTGGCTTCCTGGCACCATGAGGCTCAATCTTCCGGAAGTCTTCTGTAAGTCTTCCAGAAGGCAGGTGAGGAGGATGAGGCAGCCCTCCCTCCTCAGTCACAGTTACAGGCTGGCCTCGGGCTGGACAGGAGATGGCAGATGACAGCCAGACAATATTATCCAAGGGCTATTTACAAGGGGGCTTTTCCTGTGATCATTTCATAAACGCTACTTCTGGAATCTCTCCCTTGGCCTGCAGAAAGAGAAAAGGTGAGTCAAATGACCGCTTTCCCACCTGCCCTGCCCAGCTCATGTGACCCCCTCCTGGCTGTCCTGGAACTCTATATAGACCAGGCTGGCATCAAACTCAATCGGGCTGCCTCTGCCTCCCAAGTGCTGGGATTGAAGGCACACACCACCACACCTGGCCTTCATTTGACCCTTTGAGAAGCTCAGATCCTGCTTTTTAGCCACAAAATTCCCATCCCTACCTTGAGATGAGTGAAGGCCTGAGCGGATCTGGTGTAGTCCCAGTTATTGTCTTGAAGGCACCTGGAGTGGGATTAAAATAGGAAGCCATTAGAACCAAAATGCAGTCCTTCTGACCACACACACACACACACAAAAAGGGCACTCTAAAATCCATCCCATGGAGAAAGTCCCCGAAGTTTTCCAATAAGCTTATACATTGTTGCACCACTTACACAAATTAAACATTAAAATGTCAAAATGTACTTTTACACTGGAAGGGAAGGATTTACATGGTTTAAAAACTAAGTTGCAAGTGGATAAAATGGTGCAGGCTTTTAATCCCCAGCACTCAGGAGGCTGAATCAGGTGGGAATTGCCAAGTCTGAGGCAAAGTTGAGCTACAGAATGACTTCTAAGCAGCCAAGGTACACAGCGAAACCCTGTCTCAAAACAAAACTATGCTGCAGAACCACATAGAAAAGAGCTCTGGAACAAGGCATGCACCTACAGTCCCAGATCCCTTGGAATGAGGAGGATCACTGGAGTCCAGCTTTAGTAACTTAGTGAGACCTTGTCTCAAAATGACAAGTAAAAAGAGGGCTGGGGCCGGGCGGTGGTGGCGCACGCCTTTA